CCGTGACCTGGATGCAGCAGCTGCGGCGGCCGTGTCAGCGGCCGGGTCAGCGCGCCGGCCGGCCGATCAATAGGTGACACTGTTGCTGCCGGCGGCGGCCGGCGGCGGCGCCACCCAGTGTGTCGGCGGCGGCGGCGGCGCTGCAACGCGCCCGGCTCATGTCCGGCCCGATGGCGCCCGGCACCGACAGGCTCAAGTCCTGCCAGTGTTTCTCAGGTGAGTCGGGCCCGGCCTGGGAGGCCGTCGAGTGGCACAGGCCGGCCCGGGACGGCGGGAGGAGCTCGCTCCGAGCCTGCACGCTTTCCGCCGCTGAATGGTGCGGCGACGAATGGAGCAGGAGCATGATGCGAGATGGTGTTGCGAAGGAACTCATGTAATGAGGCTTATTTAAGCGGGATGAAGAAGTTATGAAGATTCTACAATAAATCAGTTCATCTATGGAAACTGGCAGGACACTGGCAGCCTCTGTAACCAGCTTGAGTTTATCTATACTGCTCAAGGTAAAACATGCATACATTTTCATTGTATTATATTCATGAATGAGGTTGCATCAGTTTTTTACCTCTGCCCATCATCTCAACATCGAGCACTGTCTATTTCAAGCAACCATAACCCAACATCGCACACACCGCACAGCTAGCACAGATGCCAACTTCAGGAGCGCTATGGCAGAGTTGAAGAAGCTTAGCAGCATTGAGATATCGACAGAGATTGGCAGATTGACAGAGTGACTGAGCCTTACAGGGCACACTTATTGTGCGACATCTGGAACACGTGTTGACCTTTTCGGTGCTGGAGAACGAGATTAGTGCGCGACAGTGTTCTTGCAGCCCTGCCACTAGGTGCGTCTGAATTCCACTCTATGTCATGTACATGGTGCATATAGGTCTGCACATGTATCTTGTGTATACAACTATAATCTTAGTTTCTCTGGGTCTTGCTGCATTTTGTCGGTCAAGTGTTTGCAAACCTGCGTTGTGTTAAGTATCAAAAGCCTCGTGGACCTTTCCATCTGACGTCTGAATTCGTAGTCATCAAATTTTGCTGTATGTAGTGAGTATATACACCACGGCGGGCGGTCGACAGCGACCGATATCCGCCATGTAGGTGGTTTGCTGAGCGGAGCGCTTACCTTTGGCGATCATGCGAATACTATTAAGTTTGCGGCCAGCAAGCTATTCAAGAAGGCATCAATATGAAATTAATTTCATTATGCGCATTCAGCATTTCATTACGTCCATGCGGTCCCGCTAGGATAGCTTGTCTCTCTATGAATTTCAAAGCTATGCCAACGATTTATTAGAAACAATCAATAACCTCTCTAAATCGCTGAGCTGAAGCTTTGCTGAGTTGCAGCAAATGCTTCGATGAAACGAATCAAGCATGAATGAACACCAGTTTCCCATGGGCTGTGCTGACGCTGCCGGCCGCCAGCTGCTCCTCCTGAATATGATCACACATTAGGTTTCTGAGCGGGAATCCGGCGCCCCGACACAGAGGCATCATGATATCACATATATATCACCCACATACACACACACACACACACACACACACACACACACACACCACACACACACACCACACACACACACAACACACACCACACACACACACCACACCCACAACCCACACACACACCACACAACCCACACACACCACACACACACACACACACCACACACACACACACCCACACACACACGCACACACACCACACCCACACACACACACGCACACACACGCACACACACACACGCACACAACCCACACACACGCCACACACACACACCCCACACAGCACACGCACACAGCACACACACACACACACACACACAACACACACCGCACACACCACCACACACACACACACACACACCACACACACACACACACACACACCAACACACACAACACACACACACACACACACACACACTAATTTCTCTGGTTTCTCATTTCTTCTTGAATGCTCTCCTTTGCATGCATCTGCCCGCGGTCTTCCTGTCTTGGTGTACTGTGCTATGAGATCTAGATTAGATTGATCATTCTCAGGTTCTTTAGATTGATAGAGCTGTGCAGCGGCTGACTAAGAAAATAAGTGTCATAGACTCCTAACAGTCAGACAGTCAGCTCCACTGTCCAATATGATATATTCGACAAATGTTGTTTATCCCAGCACCATTGTAGAATATAATGTACGTTTTTAATGCTAGAAAGTGAATAGACATCTTTCAGCAAGTTACGTCTTTTGTGTTCGCATGCTTTCGAAAATCATCCATGCAAATTTGACATTTATTTTAAGTAATTTGGTGAGGGTGGGAGCGCGAATAGCTCGCAAAACACTATACTCGCAAAGATCTTACCCGGCGTAGGATATTAGCCGCGCGAATGTCCTTTAATGGTATTTTTCCAACATCTTCCAAACAATCAACGCAGGTGCAACGCTCTAGGAGTTCATAATAGTTGCTGATGCCTTTTTATAAATCTGGGTTTCGTTATCGGCTTCCCTTGAATACCTTTGGTCCAATAGAAAACATCTCTAGCCTTGCCTTCGCTTTTGGCGTTGACCGCTGGCTTACAGACAGGTCCTAAATTTCTTGAGCCCAGCATCCTATTTCTGCTCTGGTGACTCCATTGGCTGGGCTTAAGTTCTCAGTTTCTGGAGACGCATCAAATTAGAAAGGTAAGCTCACATCAATTCACGGCAGAGGCTCAAGCAGCCCGTAAAACTGATGTAGCGCAAAGTCTCCGTATGGAAAAATCTGAAGGGTTTTTATTTTCGCCTCACTAAGAGGGCAATTCAGACTGTTTGCGCTCACGTTGCAACTATGGAACAGACAGCATAGCCTGTCATTCTTGTCAACCTATTTTAAGTCATATAGTGATGCCAAGCGTCTCATTCCTTTTTTGCTAGAAGCAATTGTGCACACTGCTAAATGTCAGCGGAATGCAGCTAAAGAGAGAATGAAGTGGCTTTCATGTGGGCCAATGCTGCGTTTCATTTTGCAAAAGCCATTTTTCCTATATCAGTGCTTGATCAGGCGCATGCTACTTCCTGATTGCATCTATTCTCTTTCAAAAACGCGACTACAATAGCTTGGCATGATAAACTTTCAAGGCGCTTTGAGACGCCGTCAGTATTTCAATGCTTATAGAGCGGATGCTGTCTCCAAATAGGAATCATTTGCATAAGCGACCGGCAAATGAGATTCAATATGCTGATATAGCGACCTCATAAATGAAGCCGGGACTTAGCTTCAAGATCTGCGGGAACCTTCTGAGAATGTTCTGGAATGGTAAAACGTCCCCGTTTCAGTTAGCTTCCGTGTCTGGGGACGTCATCATATCAACGGCCCCTGAGTGATTTACACAAACCTTAAATCAGCTTCAATACGCAAGCAGAAATATGACTCCGGCGTCTTCAAATGCACCGCGCGCTTCGCGTGAACGTTCCACATTTGAAGATATTGAGGCGGTTACCAGATACGATAAAATAAGCCCATGTGTGACCATTGGTATGCAATGAAGGCATAGAGTTAAAAGTATATTGGTATGATATGCACTGGGCATTTTGTCCTTTGTGTGCAACGTCTTTTGCGTGCTGTAGACAACATAGCTTTGTTATTCAGTAGATAAGCTACTCAATAAGTTATTGTTTGATTACGCCATGCAGCACTTGTATGACACCCAAATCGCTGCCAGATAACCGTGTCAGAATTGTCACTCCAAGAGACTAACTGACCCACTTTTAGCATTCCAACCTGTCGAGAGGTAGCGCGCGTGTGGCGCGTGTTTGTAAAACTCAAACTCGTTATGTGAGCGTGTTTTGGTCTTTTCTCATGGTCTTCTTGCGTATTTGTTCGTGACTTCATATTGTTTACTTGCGTTCGCCCACCCGGTTATGGCGTCCTTTTTTGTGATATTTGATCTCCAGCTTAACTTCCGTCATAGCTGGTATCACTGCCCAAATTCCTGTGTTTTATTACACAATATGTGAAAATTGTGTTCGAAACTTGCACCGAGGGCACTACATTGCTTGCGGGCCATACCTCGTACCACTGCCCAAATCCGGCATGATATAGCACAGAACATGATTTGTGTGCGGAATTACACTGAAGCATTGAAGTGGTCGAAGGTCAGTTGGTGACCGCTGATGCCACGAAACGTGTTGCGTGTGCTAGACACGGATAGTTCAATGCTCATATTTGTCAATGACCTTAAGTGCTACATGGCCAACAGAATGTTGATATTTGTGTGACATTTGAATGGCGTCATGAATGCCTGTGTGATCTTAAATAGGCTGCGTGAAATGTTCTGCATAAGTTCGTGGGCGTCAAGCTCAGAGCCCAGAAGGTTTTATACCCTAAAAGTGCATGGATGTAAACAGCGCTGAATGATCTTCAAAATGGTTATATTAGTCCAAGACTTCATACAGGTTTGGAATACTCCCCATAAGGATGTGAACTAAAAACTGCTCAGGCTCACATCAAGTCGTGGTAAAAACAGTCAAGTACGATTTTTTTAGATTTGTGGCTGATTTTTAATTGATCGTTGTTTTTCATCATTATTATTGTTGAGAAACCTTCTTCTAGTGGTTCCTTCTTCTGGTGTTTGTCGTCTTCCGAATGTCTGCAATGTTTCATCCGTGATGCTTTAGAATGCAGCGAGCAAGTTTGCCTTTTTATGTAGTGTGCCTCAAACGTATCCTACAGGCCTTCGGAGGCCCTTCGAATGGTCGGCAATTACCGAGTTAAGATGACTTTACACCCTGGAAGAAGCAATTTGAAATAATGACCGAAAGCAGTGTTCACCTCACTGCATCCTTATCATGACAACTACGTTTGTGCTCACACGGTCACAAAAAGAGTTTCTCATGCGGACAAGACATTTAGTTTGACTCTGTCAGACGTTGACGAACCGCGTGGCTCAGGATGTTATGTGCGTAGCGGATCACGGGCCTCACACCGTGCGTAGCATGTTGTGGCACGCAATAACAACCAGCACATGTTGCTCACAAGCGGGCTAATTGCATCTCAAAGTCTCCACTATTAGTGTGTACGTTAGATGGATAGGTTAAATTCATTGACAACTTATTCAGAATCAGTATGGACGTTTGATTGGGGATCGAGTCCCAAGCAGTTCGTATTTCATTTCGTTGTGCGTGGCAAGAAGCATAAGAGATAGCAACGCCAAATAAAAGACCATTCATTGTTCGGCGAATGAGCGGCACTGTACAGATGCAGCGGATTGTTTCCCGATTGCCACTATTCTTGTTACGCAATCTTCATAGAATATTATTCTGCTGCAATCATGCACCTCTTATGTCTATTCGAGTGCACCGAGACCAATGATTTGCGTTTATCAAGGCGCAACCAATCGCACCAGATACTGTGGCACCTGATACCGAACTTCCTCTTGTTCCAGCGGTGGCGAAACCTGTGAAGGGAGGCTACATGTACCGTTACAAAAGTAAGTGCCGCCTGCTGCAGCGAATGCGCGCATGTGGTAAAACTGCTGGCTAGGCGTGAGCTGCGGAGAGACTGGCTTCATATACCGCATCTTGCAGTCTCATCAACGACGCTCTGCTTTAAACACGCACAAGTTGAGCTACAGACACATGTTCGACACAAAAGACGATGGAACCCGGCTCAGCACCAATTATGGTGGAAATAGCTGGCATTAGTTTGTTGGAATCTAAGCCTGTTGCCGCCGTAGGAATGCAAATCATTTTGTTTACGTTTCTGGGACTGCTCATTTCTATTGTAGCAGCCTTTAGGACGGTTTTCACGCCTCATCTACTTCTTGACAACGTATCACCTTGAGCCTAGAATGGATCTTGCTTGACGCATCACTGGTAAGTAACTGCGGCAGAGCTGTAGTTTGAGCACACATGATACCAACGCCTGCGCTCGTCGACGTAAGTTGTGAACGTCTCAGTATGCAGCGCGGCGACTGCTGCCCCGTGACGCCGACCCAGCACGGAGGGCTGGGCCCGGCCGGTCATAAACGGGCAGTCAGACCCTGCGGCGCCGCAGATAGTCCGTTTACAGCCCGTTACGCCATCCCTGGGTCCGCGTGCGCTCGGTCCGATGCTCCAGAGTCGTAGGAGCGAGGCGTGCGGCCAGCGGCTGCTTGCAGCAAACGAAGATCAGCCGTGCCTGTAACACTGATTTATCGAGGGATGTCCTCTGAAACATTTGGTCTTATGCCAGGTGAGTGCGTCAAAGATTTGCAGGCACATGTCATTTGCTTTCCTTGCAATCAAATGCTGCTGTTGTACAAAAGTATACTGCGCCGCCAACTTCAAGCACCGATTTGCAACTATATGAGTGCCTGCAGGGAAACGTTTCGTCGAAGTCGCTGTGATGACATGCACTTCTTTCCCTGTCCTGCCTGCGTGTAGGGAATATCGCACCCAATGGTACCCATCTGGTACCGATGCGCTCATCCCTGCTGGCTCAGATGAGGTGCTATGAGCTATCTAGGCTAGCGGCGCCTCCTCGGTTGAGCTTGAACATGGCCCTCAGATCGGTCTTGCGGTGTTCGAGATTTGATCCCTCCTGCTCAGGCCTCGGGTGTCACTTCACGTGAGGCTGTGATGTCACTACACGTTGATCTGGGCTCTCCTCTTTCTGGGGTTAGGGCCGCCGTCAGATGTACTTCAAACAGCCCTATCCCGGGACATGGGGCGTCTCTACGCTGCTGCTCGCGCCGCACGTTTGTGGGCAGCCCGCAGTTTGGGTTCGAGTTTCCTATTACCTTCCTACGTTAACGTCCCTATTTTCATTTAAATTTGCGCTTCTTTGTCCAGGCTTGGGAACGCCCTCTGTCCATGCCTGTGAGCACCAATAATTTGGACTTGAAGCTCTTCTGCACCTTTGCTAGTGGCGCCAATCTGTGCGCTCATTAGGGCTGGGAGCCTCCTTTCCTTAAGACTAAAGTAACTCTCGACATGGGCTTCGGTCTCATCTATCTTGGCTTGAGAAGCCGCTCTTTGCAGGTTTGGGCTGGCAAACTTTTTGGGGACCTGCGATCTTTTTTGCTTGTTATTCACCTATGATTGGGTTCGTCTCTCCACTTGCCTTGGAACGCCTTCTACCCAATTCTACGACAGTGATTGGATCAAGAGGTTTCTGTGAGCTTTGGCTTGGTCGTGCTCCTCTTCGGACATCCTGTTCAAGGGCACCAACATTGGCCGAAATGGCGCCACTATTTATACGTGATGAGAGAGGGGTTCCGAGCATTATGGGGCCCGACTTGGCCTTCGCTTCCGTTTTGAGTATGGCCGAGTCGTGTTGTGTAGACTTAGCACGAGCTCAGAAGTCTTACGTAAACCTGAAGGTATTCTATAGCTCATGTCAAGTGGCGTTGCAGCCGTCGTCTGGGGTGACGCTTAGTTCCGGTATTCCGCGCACGTGTTATGTCCATGCTTGTTACGGCAGCTGGATTCAAACCTCGCATCGTCCTAAACATCGCAACGCATATCAAACAAACGCTTTCTGATTTTGTGAGCGACAGTTTCTGCAACACCGGTAGTATGTCGTAAGCGCGGTGCAGTGCTTATGCACTGACATTCCGTAATGCTGAACAACGTGAACATCGTCTTAGCACTTGCATCAGATACCTGTCAGAAGTGGTCTGGAATGGACTTAGTCCCAACCCTTCCTCAGGGTGCATTTCTTCCGCTTCTCATCCAGGATCGCCCGTTGTGATGAGATTGCAGCGGACTTCTGAGGCTGATCTGATGCGGGTCTGGATTATGCTGAGGCCGACAGTGACAATGTCCTGTTCCACATTTGCGACACACCGAAGTTGACACACGGCCCACCGTCCAGGCGTGATGGAGCGTTTGTTCAGAGCGCGGCCGGCAATCTAGACCCATCGGACTACTGCTACCTCAGCAGCTCGGTTACTCATCAGACCATGCCAGCTCATCAGACTGCTGTGATCTCACCAGATCAGTAACTTACCACCAGTAACTTACCAACAGACCACCCCAGCCCATCAGACTATTTTAATCTCACCAGCCGTCGGTAACTCATCAGACCACCCCAGTCCATCAGACTACTGATATCTCACCAGATCAGTAACTCACCAGACCACTCCAGCCCATCAAACTATTATTATCTCACCAGATTAGTAACTTACCAAACCACCCAGCCCATCATACTATTGTAATATTATCAGGTCGGTAATAAACCAGACCACCCCAGTCCATCAGATTATTATAATCTCACTAGGGCGGTAACTTACCAAACCCCCCCCAGCCCATTATGCTATTATACTCTCGTCGGATCAGTAACTCACCAGACCACGCCAGCTCACCAGACCACTGTTATCTCACCAGATCAGTGACTCACAAGACCACTCTAGCCCATGCCACTGTTGCAATCTCACCAGGTCGATAAGTCACCAGACCACTCCAGCCCACCAGACTATTTTAATCTCACCAGCCGTCGGCAACTCGTTAGACCACCCCAGCATCAGACTACTGAGATCTCACCAGATCAGCAACTTACCAGGCTACTACAGCCCATCAGACTTTTGCAATCTCACCAGGTCGGTAACTTACCAGACCTCCCTAGCCCATCAGACTATTGGGTGACTCACCAGACCACTCCAGCCCATCAGACTATTATTATCTCACCAGGTCAGTAACTTACCAAACCACCCAGCCCATCATACTATTATAATATCATCAGGTCGGTAACTAACCAGACCACCCCAGCCCATCAGACTATTGTAATCTCACCAAGTCGGTGGTAACTTACAAAACCACCCCAGCCCATCATACTATGGTACTCTCATCGGATCAGTAACTCACCAGACCACCCCAGCCCATCAGACCACTGTTATCTCACCAGATCAGTAACTCACCAGACCACTCTAGCCCATCCCACTGTTGTAATCTCACCAGGTCGGTAACTCACCAGACCACTCCAGGCTATCAGACTATCGTAATCACATCAGCCGTTGGTAGCCTGTGTGTCCCATGTCGCAGGCAACCGCGATGGTTTCAGCACGCTGCGGTGTTGCCACCACCCGGTCAGAAAGTGATTAGCGACATGAAGAAGGGAATGAGACGCCGGTCGACACGATAAAGAACGTGAACGACACTACCACTATTGTAATTATGAACGCGGTTACCGAGATGTGCCAGGACGGAGCTGGCAGCTGCACACGTATGACCTTTGGTGCAACAAGCAGTTTACAACGCGGGGCAATGCACTATAATGAATATATTCAATGTTTCGCAGTTACTGATCGCACGCCAGCTTCGTTCCATGGCGCACTTCACAAAAGCTTAATGAGATCATGTCGCTGATCGCAAACGAAAATGTAAGATGATGTGTTGTAATGGTTTTAAGTGTTTGTTTGCATTGCATAACCATATCAGCTGTTTTCGGTTTGGAAACGCCAAAATCACAGCCCTCTTCATCAACTTCAGGGTACCTGCATGCTCAAGGCGATCAACTTTGTTGTAGACCGTGTGTATATAAATGCTTTGACACGCGACTCACAACACCCTCATGCATTTACCTTCCCCTGGGATCCATCAGCCCGTTGAATTCCGTCGCATCAATTGAGATTTACTTCAAAATCCCATGCCAACCATGGAAAATCATTGCATGATCCTAACTGAACATGACATGCGGTTCTGACCGACTCTGCAAGCTTTCGCCCACTCTCGAGATGTTCGCCTGCTACGCAGTACTTGGCCATGCCAACTCCGCAGTTTCTTTTCCAATCCCTGTGGGAGTTTCCACGTGTCATGGCTTACGGCTAACTGCGCAGCTGCCTCGACTCCTAAGAATTTTGCTACCCACGGACGTTGCAGCGCTCGCCACTCCGCCGCCGTCGGCAAAGCTTTGCCACGCAGACAATGGCGACGGTTTCGTTCTGGCGGTGCCTAGCTTCGGTGCGCTGGGACGGCCCGTGGTTTCCCAGCGGCAGCTCCGTCGGCCCTTGACCCGTCCGCGGGCGGCCCGTGGCCTCCCAGCGGCAGCTCCGCCGGCCCCTGATCCGCCGGCGGGCGGCCCGTGGCCCCCCAGCGGCAGCTCCGTCGGCCCCTGATCCGCCGGCGGGCGGCCCGTGGCCTCCCAGCGGTAGCTCCACCGGCCCTTGACCCGTCCGCGGGCGGCCCGTGGCTTCCCAGCGGTAGCTCCACCGGCCCTTCCCCCGGCCGGGGAGGGCTGTTGCCCGCGGCGCCGGACGCGCCGAGCCGACCGGGGTCGGCAGTAAACTGGCCGGCGGGCCGTCCGCGCCGACAGCAACGATGGACCGACGCCGCGGCCGGCTGTCATCACCAGCTCGGCGGCCCGCTCCGGGCGGCGCGGCGGACAGAGCGGGGCGCTGCTGCCCGCGCTCCGACCTCGGACGACGGTCGGAGTGGGCTGTTCAGCCGGCGGAGGCGTCGCACCAGGCGGCGGCGGACGCTCCGGCCGGCCTGAGGTCGCGGAGCAGGCCAGCCAGCCAGCGCACACCACCATCGGCCAATAACCCGGGGAGTGGAGCTGTCCTCTGTCGGCTGCGGTCGTGAAAAACCGCAGCGAGCAGGAAAACATTCCCCTGCGCCCTGGGCGCTTTTACTTTTCTGTATGACAATGCGAGTGCGCAAATGACATATTTTTCATGGATTGAGTCATGACTCTCAAAACATCCGGCGTGCTCGAATGCAAACTTGAATGCGTTTTCTCGGACCCATCCACACTATGATGTATCAATGCCAGGTTATGCAATCCTGGAGAGCAATCACATGCGTCCGTGAGAATGAGATTGAAACCATCATTCATCTGGGGCGCGCTGTACAGCTGTACGCCCTGAGGCAATCTTTCGCTGAAGTTAGTTTAGTTGTTTCATTCGCTGGCGACCGTTGCTAAAAATCAGTCGTCAGCGGCCAGGACCGGTCAGCAGGCTGATAGAGGGAGCACACTCCGTGAAGCCTGGTGTGATAGTGCGGGGACGGCGTCTGGCGCAGCTCATCGTGATGGCCATGATTCCAAACGAACTAGCAGTCTGATGAGACTTGGTGCACTTTCAACAGCGTTCACCAGGTAATTGTGCTCAATATAACTTGTACAAGGATAAGTGTGAGAATATGTTTTTACTGCAATCGTCAAATTCCGTTAACTGGACTTGCATGTAAGACGGTTAATCATGCGACCACCACACGATGCGTAGATTGCGCGATAATAACTGTTACCCGAATATAGTACACGAACTGGTCATGAGACCACCGACTAGTAAAGCGAGCTAGCTAACGGTGATCAATGATCGTCGCTAAAGCTATCGTATTTGTATTCTTATTTGACATCGGCTGACACTCCACATACACACGTGGCTATTACGTGTCATTATTCTGAGAGATAAAACGGTATATAAAAAACAACGGAAAGTGATAGAGGATAGAAAAGGCATGAGCGCATACACGCATAAACAACTCTATCGAACAAAAAGGACTTGGCAGCGCGCTTAAAACTTGTTGAATTTAGTCGTCGAACATCCATAGGGAACTCATAAATGAGAGACGCCGCTCGGTGTACAAAGGACCGCTGTTTTGCCGCCGCATGCATTACCGCATGCGTCTGTTAAGGCATTTCAATCATTAGTCCGCGTTTCAGCGTATGTTTGTTAATAACATGCATCAACTCAAAACGTTTTGTTTACACTTTCCTGAAGCTTAAGCCCGCAATACGCGGGCTGAAGATGAAGGGTTTTTGTTCTTACCGGATTGTACACTCACTGCGTCAGGAATTGTGAAAGCGGGCTTATTTTGCGTCAGTCTGTAATGCGCCCAGCGGCGTTGCCAGCGTGCCTTTCGGTAACAGCCCGCCGCCGTCCGCAGAGCGTTTCTTCGGCACCAACTGGCGGGAGGAGTACGCCATTTTGTACGACGACTCGTCGCTCCTCTGGTACAAGAGCAAGGAGCGCAGCGAGCCGGAGGGAGCGCTGGTGCTGCGCTGCGCGCCCGAGCTGATGGCGGTGGGCGTGTTCACGCGCGCCGTGCCGCGCCAGCCCGAGTTCCCGGCCGGCACGGACATCCGGCGCGTGATCGCGCTCGGCAGCAGCGTCAGCCGGCGCGTCCAGTGGTTCATCTGCCCCTCCGAGGACGACGCCAAGTGAGTGCTGCCGCCGCGGGCCGCCGGCGGGTGCCGCACGGCTCCGGTGCGGGCTGCCCTGAGGGTGTCGGCCTGCACGCGGCCGGGTGCAGTGCTCTGGGATATCAGCGCTAGCAGGAGGTTTTGCTCTGTTCGAAAGGAAATGACAGTTATTGTATTTTGAACGCGACACAGCAGGAGCCCTTCTGTAACTTGGATGCTTATTGCACTCGAATGAATGGCTGGTGAGGGAATCCCTCTGCCGAATGAAACCGACCGTAAAAACCTCTGAGCTTCCAGGCGCTGCTGATATGAGTCACGGGCGATAGACCACGCGGCAGATGCCGTTGTTCGGGCGGCAGCGTCGTGGCCGGCGGGCGGTGGGGATGAGTCGGGGTCGCGGCCCGGGCGGGCCGCCGCCGGATGAGCGGCACTCCGTCGGCGAGCGTGCCCTATCAGCCACCTCCCGCCTCCCCCTCCCGGCGGGCGCTGACACGGTCGGGCTCGGCACTTGCGAAGCCCTCACCTCTGCTGGATCAGGCGCTAGGCTGGCAAATGACAGCGTCAGACTTCGATACGGCGTCTCCCGCAGTGTCTCCCCTCCCGCCTCCTCAACCGGTGACTGGGATCGCCCCTGTCTCGATCCTCTGCACCACTGGAAACCTAGGCTAACGCCTATGTTAGGAAAATGAATGCGTTAATCGCATCACTTTTGGTGCTGTGACTTGTGGGTCTTTCCGAATATTTGGGATCAGTTCCGAACTGATTGAAGATAAGGCCTATCAGTGCTTCGGACATTTTTCAGAATAAAAAGCCGCTGGAAACAAGGGCTTCTTTTCTAGGCATACGTTTACGTCTCTCTATGATGCCACGATAATTCAAGTGCGTTTTAACGAATTGCGTGGAATACAAGACGTTTTACAATGCGATAAGGCGCATCACAAGTAACATCTCTATTACGATAACGGTTCTAGCCGCAGGGTAATATGAACAGTTAATTCAGGCAAGTCATCTAAAACAAACCCGGCTGTTTCCCCTTCCTTCCGAGCTATTTAAGCCCCGCCAGTAGATTCAGCTATATTGCATGCATGAAATGCGTAGGAAAGTACTGAAAGTACGTTTTCACAGCACTTAACAAAGCACATTGTGTATGACGCTAATTGTAAAGCACTGACACTTTGCTTTCGGGTATACATTTCAAGATATTCCTCAGCAATGCTCCTCCATCCTTCTCAACGCCCTCTGGGTGCGAGCACGTCCCAGCGGGACGGCTGCCGATTGTGAAGGGGCGGCTGGACGTAGCGGGGGGGGGGGGGGGGAGGAACGAACAGATGTGGCCGACGTTGCTCCTAACAGATGTTCAAACTGCACCAAGCGGTGTAATACGATGGTTCACGTTCACTGTTTCAGGCATTTGTAATTCAGGGATTGTAGGTCTGGGATATTTTGCCAATGTGTCGGTACTCTTATTCCATTAGCACATATTTGTTGCCGTAGCGGGGCAGTTTCCTTTCTGAATTTGACAGTGCGATAAAAGTTGGCGATCATATATTTGTTGCGCACCACACATTATACGATAATACACTCTGTCATATCTCCATCCCACATGAGTCCCCAGCAATTGTCAGCAGTGAGGTCAGAACAAATAGGCGAGTAGTTGAGGTCCCAAAACTTTAGCCTGGGTAATCGGAACCTACGAATTCTGGAATGACCACATGCAATGCACCACAAGCAAAAGTCAAGTGGTGTTGAGAACGCCCAAGCGACGAGTGCCTTTATGTTCGCAACAACGCTAGAATTTAACAGACGAGACCGCGTGGCACGATCAGTGGCCGGCGCAGATGCTCGGCTTACCAATGCACTGCAAGGCAGAAACATCACCGTGTTCTGACGTCACGTCTGTCATGCAGGCAGTTTGCCATACTCAGCCTTCAAGCAAAAACACCTCACGGTGGTGTTCTTGCTCACCTATTGAACAGCCGTGATCTTGTCACCAGTAGTCTTAACTAGCAGCGTGGTTTTCTTTCCGTGAAGAGACATTGACTCGTCAGCTGGTAGTCATTGGCTGCCGTCTTGAATCCTTACAGTTGTCGTCTTAAACCCTGAAAAATATGGTGGTCGAGGAACGTTTCAGTGCATAACCAGCGTTCACACACCTGTGACTGAGTTATTCACGTGTGCAGTTGGGGCGAATAAGCTTGTTTTACCATTCCTAATTGCTGGTGACTTTCAGACCGTGTGACACTGTTAATATCAATGCTGGTGTACTAATTGCTTCAGTCTTTAAAATAGAAGACCTCGCAACGCATTTGCTCCGCTAGTAACCTGAACAGCACTTAAATATGAGTATCGCACAACGTAGTCATGATTCACGTTCCTTCCTGTCGGGTGTGTGGAAACCACCATGCGCTCTTCGTGTTTCACCTAACTTTATCTCGAGGGGATTGAGATTGCTAGTTGTGTAATGAAAAAACCAGCATGGATTAGCAAATAACTGATTGACTTGAGATTGCTAACAGATGATTTTAAGAAACGGAAAAGAGCAATGCTTTTCCTGACCTCCCAAAGTTCATGAGAATTGTGGTTGAAGCCCCACGCTTTTCGGCTGGAATTAGAACGCTGCTTGGAGATCGGGTCATAATTCTCTCATCTCTATAAACTTTGATTGCTATGGTCTTTACTAATGCCATGGGGCTGTAAACGCAGCCATTGTCAGAGACTTTGGGCTCTTGAAAAGCGCCCGAATGTGGCGCCGCCGAGCTGAAGACATCCGCGTCGAAATTGCATTTGGCGAAACCCGTGGCTGCGACGGCTTAGAGCTGGAACTGGGAACGAAGTGCAATCTAGATCATATTTATCAACCAGCTAATTGTAAAGCTGTGAGCAGAAAATCAGAAGTCGAGGCGGCCGTTGTCATGGGGTCCTAAATCAGCTGCCGCACAGAAGATTGACAGAAAGCTGCGTGGCGAACACGCGGGCCTAACTTATTCATGGTTTACAACCCAATTTGGGAGAATTTCAGAACGACCTCTGACAGCCTTATTTATACTGGGGGACAAGAGCAATGAGGTTTTTGGTTGTTGAATATTCTGTGATATAAGTGTGGTCCAATGCAGTGTGATATATGGTGATTATCCAATAATTTTCTGGTTTCTATTAATATACATATGCATATATATATATATATATATATATATATATATATATATATATATATATATATATATATATATATATATATATATATATATATATATATATATATATGGGAGAGAGAGAGGGGGAGAGAGAAAGAGAGAGAGAGAGAAAGAGAGAGAGAGAGAGAGAGAGAGAGAGAGAGAGAGAGAGAGAGAGAGAGAGAGAGAGAGAGAGAGAGAGAGAGAGAGAGAGAGAGAGAGAGAGAGAGGGGGAGAGAGAAAGAGAGAGAGAGAGAGAGTCTCAATCACATGTAGTGGTAAAAAGTTGATGCCATAAGCAGCACTTGCTGCTGTTCATGTATATAGCATTGGTCAACGTTTCAATGTTCGTATACATCATCGCCAGTGTCTGAAAGCTTCCCGCTAATGTTCCAACCAGAGTATCTTGCATTGTTTACTTCCTCGGCTTAGATCATTGGTTTTAGGGAGCAGCTTCCAATTTTTACTCGTTGTTATATTATAAAACAGCTTTTTGAATGGCACACATCTAAGATTCCCTGTTGGTCATGAAGTCCTAAGTATAAATAGGTATTGCGTGCTGCCCTTTTTTGAAAGGCATGGATCATTCACTTATATCAGACACTCAATTGCTCACTAACAACAGTGTCAATTTTTCCGTAGCACGGCGATGCGGTAGTTACGTATATATAAACACTTAAGAGTCAAGAGAAGTCCCCGCTGAGTATCATGGAGTCTGCATATCTCCTGCAAATTATTAGATAGGCTTATGATTTTGCTCTTGCGGAGCCTGGAAGACCTTCGTTGCATGGTTCTGTATTACTTCCAAGCTGACATGATGTATGCCGATAAGAGTTGTGCTTAATTGTATACAAATCTATTACCATGAGTATATCTGTGATGTGACCTAACGTATGTGAATTTCTCGAATGTAGAACGAAACCAAATTTATTGAATGCGCTCCCGTTTCCCGAGCATTGGATGATGCGTAAGAATTGTTTTCGCTCTGATGATGATTTTAAAATTATCAAAATGTCGATCGGATCACAGGTACGCAAATTATAGATTAGGTTTCATTCAAATGTATGTATTCTTAGATGAGCATGGTACACTCTGTTGAGCTGTTTCGCACACAACCTAAAAACGTTAACTAGTAAAGCCGGGTTAGGAAAAGCCCAAGATGTCGCCATTCCTCATTGAGCTTGAATTACTATCATATATATGCTTGATTTTGAAAATGATTGACAGAAACAATATAAAGCAAGTATTTTGAAGCGGGCGATTACTTGCACGTATTCAGCGTCGTATATTTTGCTGGAAATGGATATTTTCCAAAGTTATTTTCCGTTCCAAGGTGATCTAGAAAATATAAATGTCCTTGCCAATGACTTGAATGTCACCTAACAAAAACAAAATTCCGCTTTTTAGGAGCACTTACAGGAATATACCTTCAGTACGTCATGGATCATTGAATTGGTGATTGATATTACATCCCACATTTGCGTCCCCTACCACACAGGGCCTCCGATGCTGGAAAGGCGCTAACGTAATAATCGCACTCGTTTTGCATAGGCATTCACTGCCATAATCTTTTGACGGTAACCCATGTGAAAACAAACTTGCTGAACGTAAGATATGATAAAAGCATAGACAAAAAAGGAAGAATGCATTCTTAGCTACCTGTGGAATCACGTAGTTTCCTATAAATGTTTATATCGGGTTAGCCAAGGAGCTCCTATATAGCGTTTCAAACGACGAGTGGTCGCATTTCGTATAATCATTGCTTTCACAGAGAGCTCAGAATGTTACCAAGTTTTCGGGGTCCCAATCATTCCGGATTTCAACATGAGGTGACTATTAGCTATG